TCTTTCTTTCTTTCTTTCTTTCTTTCTTTCTTTCTTTCTTTCTTTCTTTCTTTCTTTCTTTCTTTCTTTCTTTCTTTCTTTCTTTCTTTCTTTCTCTTAAAATCCATCAGACGTCCAATTCACGTTTGTTTCCAGGCCGAGGAGCCGGCGCTGCCGCCGGCCACGCGCTCGGGGCTGCGCTCAGCCGGAGAACCCAGAGGGGGCCGCAACCCCCTCTGCACCCGCAGAAAGGGCCGCCACTCCCTGCTTAATAAAATTATTATTAACATTATTATTAATAATAATATTAATAATAATAATGATAATAGAAATAAACAAGAGTGTATTGCCTGGAGCTTCTGAAGGGCGAGGGGTTTTTTTGGTTTTCTACTGTAGACTCGGGGGTCCTGGAGCATCCCTGCCTGTCACAGCACAAAAAGCTCCATCGCTGCAAAGTGTCCTAACTGCTCCAGGACTATCCTGTTTTTATGCAGTTCGGGAGATCCCTGGAGCTCTCCCTGCCCGGAGCTGCGAAGTTTTACTTTGGTTGCTTATTTGGTTGCTCGTTTGGTTTTTATTACTATTATTACTTGTTTTAGGTTTTTTTTGTTTGTTTGTTTATTTGTCTTTTTTTTTTTCTTAAAGCAACTCAAATTTGTTTATAAAATTGACTTGTGCCCCTTTGAAACAAATTGTTATTAACCTTCCCCTTCTGAGCGTTTCATAATCACAGATGTTAGTTTGGAGATGATATCCAAACATCCCAGGGGTACTTTTGATAGCTGCATGGGCGGGGATTGAATGTGGAGGTCGGATATTAAATCAGCGGGATGCAGAATTACTTTTTTTTTTTTTTTTTTTTTTCCACGAACCCGAGCTAGCTGAAGTTTCTCCCTCCAACTCTGATGTGCATTGCACAATAAAAGGCAAGGGCATTTGCATATATAGTGCCTGCCTGTGTGTTTGTATACCGCATATAGGGTATTAGCACCGAGCGGAGCCGCGCGGCACCTTCAGCAAACCTGAGTGCTCGCTGCCCATTGAACAGAATTAGAGAGAAAAACGCGCTTAATTAATGACACACCCGGGCCAGGCGTGAGGGCTATTTATTTATTTATTTATTGGGAATATTTGCCCTAGGAGCCTCCTCCTCTCTCTGGAGAGAGGCAACGGGGGACGAGAGGCGACCTCGTCGCTCCGAGGGGCTCATCGAGGGGCGAGGGGGGTACCTGTGATTTTAGTATTATTTATATTTGTATTTATTTTTCTGCGGGGTCATACGGTGCGGCTCGGGTAATAAAGAAAAATGCAGGAGGCTTCGGCTTTTGCTGATAAATTAATTTTACTCGTTCAAGGTGCGCGGCCGGTTCTGCTGCGATCTGCGCTCGCAGACTGTTCCTTTGGAAAGGAACCCGGGACACATCCAGAGGCGGCTGCAGGGGCTGCCTAAAACCCAGACAGCAACACAATATCTTCCTGTCCTTGATCCCGCAGGGGCAGCTCCCTTGCCTAGAGGATGGGCGAAGTTGCACAAGTTTCACTACATTTATTGATATCATTATTATTTTAACTGCAATCCAAATGCATATCCCGGTGTCACACACTTGTCCTCTGCTCCCAGAGCTTTTCGCTTTCCCTGTGAGCTGCTTCCAAGTGGCGACTTTGGCCCCAGGTAGGAGCTGGGCCAAAATGTCCCTGGGCTCAAGCTCGGGGACTCGGCAAAGTCGCTGGGGCCACCGCTGTGTGACACGCTCGGTTCCGCGCTGCCTCTTTGGACCGAAACAACTCTTTGGAAACCAGAGGGCAGCTGCTCCTTGGTGGCAATCGCGCATTCTCAGCCACTAATACTCTCCCTCCTGACTCTAAAATCCCCTTCCCCACGTTTTTCTGGGTCTCTCTCTCTCAAAAAATAAAAATAAATAAAATAATATAAAATAAAAATAATTTTAAAAATCTGCAATAAATAAGAATAAGAATATTGGAAAGAAAAAATGCTGGCTCCCTGAGCTCCTCTGCTTCACCTATGGCTCCCTGACCAGGCTGCCTGGGCGCAAATCCAGCCCTAACTTCTTTTAACAGTTTTAATTATTTCCTTGGGAGCTGGTGCAGGAGCGGGGCAAGGTGCCTTCCCAGGGATATCTCTGTGTCTGGGAAAAAAAAAAAAAAAAAAAAAAAAAAAAAAAGTTGCTGCTTGAGAAGGATTCTCCAAAGCCGTAGCTTAAAAAAAAAGAAAAAAAAAATAAAAATAAATAAACAGAGGGAAAGAGAAAATACAATTCGCAATTTATGATTAAATTGCCTCCTGCGAGATCCACGGCCGAGAGTGGCTGGATCTGCCCCCAGCCCCTCTCTCTGCTCCGGGAAAACAGCCCAGCCTGAGCTGCGGCGACTGTTGCGCCTATCGTGACTGTGGCTACAGCGGAGCACAGGACGAGCTGAGTTTTGCCTGTCTTAAAATCATGTGGGTTTTGGTTTTTTTTTTTTTCTCCCCTACAATTTCCCGGAGATACCAGGGCGATATTTCACACGGTCCTTCATTTTCGAGCACGGTGCCAATATTCCCGGCGCTCTTCTCGTCCGCATCCAAGTTCAGGAGCTCACACGAGTCAGGTTTTGCATCGTCCCACTGAATATTTAAAGCCTGGCCAAGGTGAAACCTGTTGACAGCGGCGAAACGGGTCCTTGTTGCTCTTCCTTTTGCAGGGCGGTTTTTATGCGGCTCGACCCCTTTCACCTAAAAGAATCTCCAAAAGTTTCCTCCTTGCTCAAAGCACAGACTAAAAATCCCCTTGCCCCTTTTATTTTTTTCCCTGATTTTTCTCCCTCCATGGAAATAATTTTCCCAGTGAAATCCTTCTAATCTAAGCACCAACACATTTCTCTCCTGCATCAGAAGACGCACCTAAATGCTATAGAAATATATGGTTACCAATGTATTTTGGCAGCTTTTGCTGTCATCACTATTCGTCAGCAACGCTCTGAGGCGACACATCCTGTATTTCATAATAAAGTGCTTTCTTTTCTTTCTTTCTTTTATTATTTAATGCAATTTTCAAGAATTTAAACACACAAAATGCAGTGAGGATGTTCACAATTTCGAGACGACAGTTGTAAATAGAAACATTCATATTTCATAAGATTATAAATATTTGATACTGCGAGTGTAAAATGCACATGTCATATAAACTGGAAGGAGGGGGAAAAAAAGGAAAAAAAATCTTTGCATTCTTGCGAAAAGGCAATGGCATTTCACCCTGTCTCCCAAGCAGCTGAAGATTATTCACAGAATTTAAAATTCCAGCTTTCGTTTTATCCCGTCCTTATTTTTTAATCCCCCTCTTTCTCTGCCTCCTGTTTAAGGTTACCCCGCTCTGTAAGGCGGGCCCGGAGGAGCTGGGCAAGGGAGAGGGTTTAAGGCAAAGCGCGAGGTTGGCCCTGGCTCCCCGGGAGCCACTCGCAGCCCCGCGCTGCGGCCGCGGAGCGCAGGGCCCGCGCAGGGCCCGCGGCACGAGCGGCCCCCGCAGCGCGTTTGGTTACGAGGGGATATTTAGGCTAAAGGGGGTGCTAAAAAAGGGGGGAAATTGTTTTTGAGGAGGAGGCGCAGCGAGCGCGCAGCGGGGCTGGCAGGCGGCATCCCGGGCCCTGCGCGGCCCTTGCGCGGGGCTGCGCTGGGAACCGGGGGCAGGAGGGGGGGCAGCTGCGGCCCCTGCACCCGCGCTGCGCCCTCAACTTCCCAAAGAAGCCGGGGGGCAGCGGGGGGAGCCGGGGCCGCCCCCCAGCTCTGCCCGGCGCCCGCTCCGCGCCCCGCTCCGCGCTCCTCTGCGCGCGGGACGCTCCGGCGCTTCCCAGTGCCCGCTGCAGCGTTTCTTCCCCTACCGTCACATATATATATATATGATATATATATATATGCATAAATTACATATATAATATATATATACCTAATTAATTTTTCCATGTCTATCCCATCAATCGACTTCCCCCCCAACGCACACACGCCATCAAAAAAAAAAAAAAAA